GCTTTCAAGATTTTCTTTCTCTCTGGCTTTCAGCAGTTGGAATAGAATATGCCTAGAGCTGGTTTTTTTTTTTTTTTTTTGTATAGATCATGCTTGAATTTGCTAAGTTTCTAAATTCATGATTTTATGTCATTCACCAAATTTGTAGGCTATCTGGCCATTATTTCTTCAAATATATTTCTGCCACAGTCTCTGCTTCTGTTCCTTCCACATTTTATTTTTGTCTAGTAAGTCGCTGAGCCTCTGTTCATTTTGTTTCCAATAATTTTCATGTTTGTTCTTCAGGCTGAATAATTTCTATTAATCTACCCATAAGTTCACTAGGTCTTCCTTTATTACCTTCAATCTGCATGTTTAGTACAGTTTTTTATTTTGTATATTTTCCAGTTCTACATTTCCATTTATTATCATTTCTATTTCTTGGAGATTTCCTATTTGTTTATTCATTATGTATGTATACTCCTTTACTTAATTGAACACAGAATAGGTGTTATGACATTTTTGTGAACTAAAATTCAACATCTGGATCATCTCAGAGTTAGTCTCCAATAGTTGTCTTTTTCTTTAAAATTGGTTAGTAACTTTAAGTTATATTCTAGCCATTATAAATAATGTTGTAGAAACTCTGGATTCTAGTATATTCCTCCAAAGAGTACTGCCTGTTTTGGTAGGCGATTAACTGGACCCAAACTATGAACTGTTTCCCATATGGTGGGATAAAAACTAACACTTCTGTTCAATGCTTTTAGCCTTTGGGTGCTTAGTGTCTGTGCTGTATACAAGACTTAGATAGTTTATACTCCTCTCTGAAACTTTTTTCTGGATTTTCTCCTTTACGTTCTAGTTACTGTAGATGTACCAACTTTAGTCATTTAGTTCCTCCAGTCAGTAAAACTGTGAGTCTCCATCTGCGTTTCATATTATTCTCTCACTGCACCAATAATCAGACATAACCTCAAGCTAAATGTCATAAGAAATAGGAAACTTACCCAGGGAAATTCACTTCTTGTCGTCTAGTTTCTACCTGCTTTTGGTTGCTCCCCAGCATCTTTTGATGCTTATTTTTAAAATAGTTTGCTGTGAGTTCACAGTTGGCATTTGCTGGAGTATTGGTCTAATAGGAGCTAATCAATTATAATCAAGTGGAATCCTGCATATTATTTTAGAAAATAAGGCAATATAACTTTGCTAATTTCAATGGAGACAGATGGAAAAGAAATTAATGACAAAGAAATGGATTTATAATTATTTAAAATAAATGTAGAACTAGCCTGGTGGCTGAGAGAACGCAGATCCCACAGGGTCAACCACAGTTTGAATCCTGGCCCTGGAGGCTTGAAAAACACGTATAATGACTGTCTACATTCTATGGTAGCGACTGAAAGATTGGAGGCCATAAAAGCATTAAAAATTATTACGGACACTGGGAACAAAGTGGAAGGAAAATGGGAGAGGGGAAGAGTGCAGGAAGAGACATTTGTGTTACACAGATACGGTTTGTTACCTGTTGGTGATGTCATGTGTAATGGTCTCAACTCGTCTGCTGTGTGGCGTATATCATGTTGGGTAAAATCTCTTTACAAACTAAATGATGTATAATGACCGAACGTATATTTATAAATAATACTAATTTTAAAAAACTACGCTGGACACATGTATGTGCATGTCCAAAATTGCAATAGGATGAGAGCTGGAGAAAAGAGAATGGCAACATGACCATGTCCCATTGGGGGATATTTCTCCATTTCCCTCTTTCC